CGATCCGATTCCGATTCTGGGAGTCACGAGTCACGATCCGATTCTGGGAGTCACGATCCGATTCTGATTCTGGGAGTCACGAGTCACGATCTGATTCTGGGAGTCACGAGTCACGATCCGATTCCGATTCTGGGAGTCACGAGTCACAATCCAATTCTGGGAGTCACGATCTGATTCCGATTCTGGGAGTCACGAGTCACGATCCGATTCCGATTCTGGGAGTCACGAGTCACAATCCAATTCTGGGAGACATGATCTGATTTATAATTTATTTTGTGCAAAATGTACTTTATTCTTTTTAATAATATAAGCAGGATTCCGATTCTGGGAGTCACGAGTCACAATCCAATTCTGGGAGTCACGATCTGATTCCGATTCTGGGAGTCACGAGTCACGATCCGATTCCGATTCTGGGAGTCACGAGTCACAATCCAATTCTGGGAGTCATGATCTGATTTATAATTTATTTTGTGCAAAATGTACTTTATTCTTTTTAATAATATAAGCAGGCTACGTTTTAAATTAATTACTTATTTAAAATAAATGTTTGTTAAGTGTCTGAAAGTTTACAGACAATAGTTATGGGTTTTTCTTTTCTCCTTTGCATTATTGCGGTTTGATTATTTCTGATGACATAAATAGACATTGGCAGCTTTAGTAGGCTGCATTCACACTAATGCACAGATCTGATTCGACATATCAGATGTTTTGTCCTGCTCTGAAAACATAACTGACTGTTTACACATCAGTTTCGTAAACATTTTTTTAAAAATGCACGTGCATAATGTGAACTGAATGTAATGTTTTCGGACACTTTATTGCATGTTGATTGCAATTAAACAAAAATATATTATAATTTAAGCTGAACTTTAAAGCGCCTTTTTACCCACTTAAATAGGACTTAAGTACATCTTGATTTGTAATTTCATTCTGTTATTTTGTAAATTTGATTACACTGGGAAAAAACTAAAATATACTTTAATGTAATTTCAGTTGAAACTTTTGTCATGCATTTAAATATTTGTAACTACACATTTGTAATGAAGGTGCAATTTTGTACATTTAAAATATTACATATAAAATGTAATAAGATGAATACGACTACAGTTAAAAAAGTACTTCACATGTGCTTTAGTATGTTAATCAACACATGAAATGTAACTTCTTTAAATCACAATAAAATGTAAGTAAAAATGTAATAATAAAAAAAAACTTCTAAATTGACACTTTTAAAAGTGTAAGGTGTGTTAAGAAACAGTCATGAAAGTGTCTCTCTTTGAGTCACTTAATTGGCCATTTATTTCATTTAATATATTATTTTTAAGTATAGTTTTTCATATATATATTTATACACACACACACACATATATATATATATATAGAGAGAGAGAGAGAGAGAGAGAGTACATACAAGTGCACATTCAGTAGAATTATGCACACTTTTTTTTCACAAGTTTTTTTCATTTTCTTTTATACTATACATTTCTTCATGTCACCTGCAATTGTGAACTATTGTCTGTCAATATGTAGTAGTCCATTGTCATTTACCTTTGCATTAGTTCCAATTTAACAGCATCCTCAGACAGCACAGGTAATTCAGAGAGTGTGTGTGTGTGTGTGTGTGCGTGAGCGTGTGTGTGTGTGTGTGTGTGTGTGTGTGTGTGTGTGTGTGTGTGTCAGAGAGTGAGTGTGAGTGCGTGTGTGTGTGTGTGTGTGTGTGTGTGAGTGTGTGAGAAACTGAAAACCTGCTGTGACGTGAAAGCTCCTCCTACTCTCTCTTCCCCTTTTCACACAGAAACGTTGTGTTTGTCCACATGCACACTCACGTTTAGTGTAGTTAAACAGTTAAAGCACTCATGTACAGACTTTTTTTTTTTGGACAGTCAGTTCTGTGAAGGGACTACAGTACGTCACCTAGATCTTTTCTGTATTTGGAGTAAAGGAAGGTAAAGTGTGTATTTTTCTTGTTATTTTCTGCACTTGACCTTTTAGGCAGCCGAAAGCTGTTTTTAGACAAGTGTCTGGATTGTTTCACAGATGTTTTAGGGAACTGTGACTATTTAAAGAGCCGACACTGTGGGAATCGCTCTGAGCTCTTGTGTATTGAGTGAAACTGTGGCTGAAGCTGTAGCTGAGGGATGTGACGTATAAGCTTGAATTGTGTTTTAATGATTTAATGTTTAGTTTTTCGACAGCTGCCACCTGTACAAAATGAGCCCAAGAGAAGACGCCCCTGCAGACCGGTACGTTTTTCACTGTGGATTTTCATAAAACAATTCACCCAAACTAAAATCATAATGATTCATAACTGAATCATAATATGTGATTTTGAACAAGGGCAGGGACTGAGTTTAATTGCTCTAAAAGCACTCAAGTGAGTCAACAGAACAGACTGTAATCAAGCTAATAGCTTTCTGCCAGTGCCATATTCTCAGAGTCATATTCTGCATGTTTGTTGCAAAGTTGTTTTTTCTCTTAATATTAAACTCATGGTTATTAATTGAGATGGTTTACATTCAGTTTTATTTTTATTTTTGTGAATGCAGGTGCATTTGAAGTCTTGTAAGTGTCTCCGGTTTACTTTTCAGAGGGTCAGTTAACAAGTTTAACTCAAAGTAGATTAGCTAAGTTGAGATTGATTAAAAAACGACAATGTAACCAGTCTGTAAGCAGTGTTGCTATTGTTAACTAAAGCTGTTCCAGATGTTAACATTTCTAAAATGTAAACGGTATTTAACGTTTTTGGTAATTGAAATAAAGGCTACACTTTATTTCGATAGTCCACTTTAGACATTCTACTAACTATAAGTAACTTTGTAACTACATGTCAACTACATGTCAACTAATTCTCATTAATTTGCAAATACATGTCTACTAACTCTCAGAGTAGACTGTTAGGGTAGGTTTAGGGTTAGTAGAATAAGTTGACAAAGAAAGTGTTAGAAGATATTAAGCAGACAGTCTACTAATACTCTACTAACTGCTAGTTGACATGTAGTTGCAAAGTGTTAATAGAATGTCTAAAGTGGACTATCGAAATAAAGTGTTACCGAAATAAAACACAAATATTAGATGAGAAAAAAAAGAAAGTTAAATTACTAAAATTACAAAACAACAACTAATAACTATGACAAATGCATACAACAAAGTTACTAAAATCTAAACTTAGAATTAAAATGCAAAGTGAAAATATAAAAATAAAAGCTCAACATTAAAAAAACGGTAACGTTATATAACTAGGGATGCACAGACAGTATATCAACGTCATTCATTCATTCATCCTATGTTTAATTGTATATACTGACCATTTATGAATGCACTTTGGAGAGAGTTGATATGCATGGAACCATATAAGTGCTGTGTTTTTCTACATACAGTAAAATTTACTTATAATAATAATAATAATAGTAGTAGTAATAATAAGATTTTATTGTTGTAGTCTGACTCTTAAGAGTGTATGGATACTTAAAATATTTTATGGTTAGATAATAGCATGGATACACAACCCGTTTCTTGGAAAAACAATGAAATCTGCAGACTAAAAGTTGATGGTTTGACATGAACAGGCCGTGAGACTTCCTGCTGACGGTGGTCTTCTCTCTTCTCTCTAGTGGTTTCCTCGTGGGGATCATATTCTTCATCCTTGGCCTGGGAACGCTGTTGCCATGGAACTTCTTCATGACGGCGTCTATGGTAAAGGAATGTGGAAAACATTTCAAATATGCGAATTAAGCACAGCGCTGGTCAAACGGGATGCTCTCAGAAAATCCTTCAGCCAGATTTGCTGGAACAACACAGTTGTTTCCATCTTAAAGGCACTTAATTAGGCTGAGAGGAGTTCCTGCACATGTAGCCCCTCATGGGCTTGTTTCGATCTGAATTCTCCAATAAGTTCACTAATTAGTTTGCTAACAGCCAGGACTGAACTGATTAGACTAGAGTTTTATCTTATGTTCCTGCACTCACTATAAGTGTAATGTTATTACCAAATTACATTTAATTTGAATGGTTTCAATTTTCCTGTGTGTGTGTGCTTTTTTTAAGCAATGATATTTATGCATCAAGGTTAAAATCACGAAACAAGAATTGGAAATTGCACATTTGAAACCTGAACTTTTCACACCACGTCTTGTGAATTTGTATCACTCTGAAAAGCAAAATGTGCACCAGTCATTCATGCGCTTTAATGCTAAATGAAATGCATCACTAAATGCTAGTTTAATATTTATGAACGTTTCTCAGGGTGTGTTTCAAGTAATTTCGTGAATAGAGAAATTTAGGTGCGTGTGTATAGTAGTATTTAATAATGTTATTATATATAATATTCATATAACTATGTGTAATTACATAATCAAGAAGTTGCTATCTAATGCTATCTATTATTTTACAATAATTTATCAAGTTGAACTTATTAATTATAATTAAATAGCTGCATTTATGCATGTTATTTACTGTCTTTAAAGCAAATGATGGTGATGTATATAGATTATCTGCATCAACGGTCAATTAAAATCAGTGTTGCTCGATCGTTAGTGTTGAGTTTTCCAGGCCATAGTGTTGCGTTTGATTACATTGCAGTGTTAAAGTGGCTTGTTTAATATATATATATATATATATACAGTATTTCAACAACAGACTCAACACGTCTGAATGGAGCAATGGAACCGTAACCACCAGGAAGGAGTATTATTTCAATAACTGGATGACTCTGCTATCCCAGCTGCCTTTGCTGCTCTTCACTTTGCTCAACTCTGTTCTCTATCAGTGGTGAGAACGGAGCACACAAACCACATGCACTTGACATGATGCTTAATGTAATTATGGAATGCATTCTAAATGTGTAGTGCATCGTTCAAAAGGACAACAGTTGCAACAACACTGGTGCAATAATATAATAAGCAATAAAGCATTGAGGGATGAAGCGTGTTCTTAAACCAGTCATGTGTACCTGATCAATTGTGTTCCAGGATCTCAGAGAAGATGAGGATAGCAGGCAGTCTGGTCTTCATCCTGCTCCTCTTCATCCTCACTGCTGTGCTGGTGAAGATCCCGATGGAGGAGGACCGCTTCTTCTCCGTCATCATGGCAACCATCTGGTTTATCAATTGTTAGCGACTAGAAGAAGCCTCAACATTCTTTAGCAACACTCATATGCATATACGTATATATTATGAATGTAAAAAATCGAACCGTACCGTTCTCCAGCCGCGGCCCATCTTAAATCTGATGATGCATCTGTGATAGTGCGTGTATGTATGTTTGTGTGTTTGTGTGTGTGTGTGTTTTTGAGTGTGTGTGTGTTTGTGTGTGTTTGTGTGTGTGTGGTGTGTGTATCTGTGTGTGTGTGTGTGTGTGTTTGTGTGTGTGTGGTGTGGTGTGTGTATCTGTGTGTGTGTGTGTGTTTGTTTGTGTGTGTGTGTGTGTGGTGTGTGTATCTGCGTGTGTTTGTTTGTGTGTGTGTGGTGTGTGTATCTGTGTGTGTGTGTGTGTTTGTATGTGTGTGTGTGTGTGTTTGTGTGTGTTTCTGTTGATGGATACGCATTCTGGCTTCCCAATACATTACAACAGCAACGATAGTGTGTGTGTGTGTGTGTGTGTGTGCAGGAGTTTGCTAGATTTTACCTGGACAGCAAATGCAAGAGTTACGAGCTTGAGACGTCTAGCCGGCTGCTGCCTACAGGTGGAACTTAGTCTAAATTCACAGATATTGAATGCATTTCACCAGTGTTTATAGATTAAAAGCACTATAGCTTTAGAAATTTAATTTCCCTAATGAAGAAGACATGCACGTATACTAGCCTATTTTTAAAAAGAGTGCTTATTAAAGGAATATACTTAAGAATGAACTGAATGGAAAGTTTTTGGATGCCTAATTTCATGTTAATTGCAATTAGGTGAAACTGTATTATAGATTACATGTATATTAATTACTATTAGCTGAATTTTTGAGTGCTTTTGACCCACTTAAGTAGAACTTAAGTGCATCTTTATGTAAATTCAGAAGTATTTCTGTTGTCTTTGAAATATGGTTAAATATTGAATGTACTGACAAGCATTTATGATAAACTAAAATATACTTTAATGTCATTTCTATTTAAGCTTATGCATTTAAATATATTTGTAATAATGACGTTGCAATTTAGTGCATTTAAAATATATTAACTTTAAACGTAATATTGAATAACACACTACAGTTAAAATGATAATCAAGTACTTTACATGTGCTTTAGTATGTTAGTAAACACATAACCAAATAAGTGTAATACTTTAAAACATGATTATTAATGCAATGATATATAATGCACTTTAAAATAAAACTCTTAATTTGACATTATCACGAAGGTCACTTTTTAAAAGTGTTTTAAGTGTGTTCAGAAAAGTGTCTCTTTAAGTCACTGAAGTGGCCTTTTATTTAATTACTATTGTATTATTTGCATATACACTTTAAGATTTGAAGCACACAGTGCACATTCAATGCAATTATGCTCTTTGTTTTATGGCGACTGTGTTCCTCCAGATGCTGTTGAGGACTCTGTGAAGAGCAGTGATCCTAATAAAGGTGAAGAGGAGGGTGTGAAGCAGGCCTTCATCACGCTGCCGTCAGAAAACACGTCGTCCCCTCAGAAGAGCTCCATCCTGCAGGTCTTTAAAAAGGTGCCGTTGTATTTTGCCATCAGAAACGCTCACAGCCTGTGGTTTGTTCTGGACGTTATTATAACAGTGGCTGATTGTCCTCATCATCTCTCTCTCTCTGTCTCTAGATTTGGCTGATGGCGTTTTGTGTGACGTTTGTGTTCACAGTTACACTGTCAGTTTTTCCTGCGGTGACGGTGGATGTGAAAACTGTGTATGGAGGGAAATGGGGTACGAAACACACACATATGTGATCCTGGACCACAAAACCAATAGGACAATATTTGGCTGAGATGCAACTATTTGAAAATCTGGAATCTGAGGGTGCAAAAAAATCTAAATATTGAGAAAATCATCTTTAAAGTTGTCCAAATTAAGTTCTTAGCAATGCATATTACTAATCAAACATTAAGTTTTGATATATTTACGGTAGGAAATTTACAAAATATCTTCATGGAACATGATCTTTAATATCCTAATGATTTTTGGCATAAAAGAAAAATCTATAATTTTGACCCATACAATATATTGTTGGCTATTGCTACAAATATACCCCAGCGACTGCTTTTGTGCTCCAGGCTCACATATTCCTTTATTTACATTGTAATTATAATGACTGCCAATTCATTTAAAAACCCTAGCCCTAAAAGGAAATATTTTTAATGTACTATCTCTGGCTCCACCAAAACCATTCATTACGTGTAAAATCAGTGGTAGATGATATGTTGTTTTATGAATTAGGGCTAATTTAATTTATTACTTTTTTTTCCCTGAGAATGAGAGTTTAAAGCAAGACAGGTTGACTTGATGCTTTCCTTAAATATTCAATCGAGGCATTATCTAATCAAATGTGTACTAATTGGCATGCATTTTCAGAAAAATATATTCTGAACATTAGATAAAGGTAAAGTTTTTGCTTGAATTTGTTGATCAGAGTTAAAGTTTTTTTTCTCTTTCATTCTATAAAATGCAGTTAGAAAAAAAGAATTTTCCACCATGATTTTAGTAATAAAATGTTGTATAAATCAGGTGAACAACATATGAATAAACCCTTCAGAATATAGATAGGAATGAAACAACTGTGCAGTTTGCTGTATGTAAGCGCTCCTGAAGTGGAGATAAAACTCACAGCTCGGAATATGAACTGTCATTGAAATCTACCCACATTTAAAAAAATGAGTGTAATAAAATAAACACTTAAATGTGTATTTTGCATGTTTTCTTCCTATTACTCTGATAAAAAGACATGTTATGCAAGCAACATCTCCAAACTAACTAGTGCATGAAAAAGCAATGCTAAATACTAAATGATTATGTTTCACTGTAATATGTGTGAGGATGCACATCACGTGTTCGTCTCCTTCTTTCTTTCAGAACGATACTTCATTCCTGTTGTTTGTTTTCTCTTCTTTAATGTGATGGACTTTATTGGCAGATCTGTCACGTTAGTATCTAAGTGGGTGAGTGAAGTATTTTATCATTCATTCTTTCATCAATGCATTTATGTTTCACCACCAACAGAACTGCAGGTAAAAATGTATAAATACAATTCACATAAACAATATTTGTTGCTTTCTTAGAAATGTTTCTATACCTGAGTGAAAGTTAATGGCACTTATGCAGTGCCCTACACTAGAATTGGTAAACATGATCAAAACAGATTTTATAAAAATTAAATTCTTAAATATATGTATTGCTCATACACTACCATTAAGTTTGGGGTCATATATATAAAAAAATAAGAATCCAATTCAGCAAGGATGCATTAAATTGATTAAAAGTCACATTAAAGACAATGTTACAAAAAAATGTATTTCAAATAAATTATTTTGAACTTCCTATTTAATCAAAGAATCCTCAAGAATGTATATTTCTGTAAATATATTTTTTAAGTCACTTGAATATTAAATTTGTTTGAATGAATGAAAGAAAAAGAGGATAAACAGGTCTTTGTGACATTTTTCCACAGCCTATGAGAAAATGTTTCCTTTTTTTGTATTATATTGTGTTAAAACGTTCTGTTTGGTGGGGCTTTCATACAGTATGTAATAATTTCATGGCATGATTTCTGTCTCTCCCGCAGCCCTCTAAAGACAGTGGTTTGTTCCCGGTGCTGGTGGTTTGTCGAGTGATCTTCGTTCCTCTGCTCATGATGTGTAACGTGCAGGAGAGACACTACATGCCTGTGCTCTTCTCAAACGACTTCATGTTTGCTGCAATCATGGTGTGTTTCTCCGTGTCCAGCGGATACTTTGTGTGTCTGTCCATGACGTACGCGCCACAGTGAGTACACACACTTCACACACACACACACACACACACACACACACACACACACACACAAACACACACATTGTGTAAAAATGGACTCAAGGCTGCATTTATTTGATTAAAAATATAGTAAAAATAGTAATATTGTGAAATAATAGTGCAGTATAAATATGTTTTAAAATGAAATGTATTTCTGTGATCAAAGCTGAATTGTCAGCATCATTACTCCAGTCTTCAGTGCCACACGATCACCAAGTTTGGAGAAATGTATCACTGCATCAGTGTCTCAGCAATGGATGTTCTGCAGTGAATGGGTGCCGTCAGAACGAGAGTCCAAACAGCTGATGAAAACATCACAATAATCCACACCACTCCAGTCCATCAGTCGAGAAGCCAAAAGCTGCGTGATTGTAACAAACGAATCCATTGAGATGTTTTTAACTTCAAACTTTTGCTTCTGGCTAAAATCCAAAATGCATAACACTTCCTCCAGTGAAAAAGTGCATCTCCTGTTGTCTCTCACATCAAAATCCAGTCACGTGTTTGTTTAGAGCTGTTTTGTCTTGTAAACGGTGCTTGATCTGTGCAGATTTCTCTCCTGATTCAGACCGCTTTTACTCTGGAGGAAGCGTTATTATGGATTATGGACTCATATTTTAGCCAGAGGCAACAGTTCAAAGTTAAAAACATCTTAATGCTGGATTTGTTTCAGCTTTTGTCTTCTCAAGATATTAACTGATGGACTGGAGAGCTGTGGATTGCTTGTGGATTATTGTGATGTTTTTATCAGCTGTTTGGACTCTCATTCTGACGGCACCCATTCACTGCAGAGCATCCATTGCTGAGACACTGATGCAGTGCTACATTTCTACAAACCTGATGAAGAAACAAACTCATCTATATCTCGGATGATCTGAGAGTGAGCACATTTTCATATTCCTTTAAAAACATGCACACATCATGAAATCTCACATGCTGATGTTTTCTCCTCTCTTTCCAGGCTCGTGGAGCCTAAAGATGGCGAGATGGCTGGCGCGTTGATGACATTTTTTCTGGCTCTGGGTTTGTCGTTGGGAGCAGCGTTGTCGTTCCCTCTGCGCTTTCTGGTCTGACGCTCACGATCTCACTCTCACTCCTGAATCCTCGGCTCTCAGGGCGTCTGCAGTTGGGCTGCGATAATAAATCGATGCATAGCGATTCGTGGATCGATTCTGAGCTTAGTTTTAGCCCTACGCTAGTTTTTAAGTCATGCAAGTGGTTAAATGTACTTGCACCTTTATGCTTTTATGACTATGAATGTTCCCACTGTGGACACTTTTGCAATTCGCTTCAACCTTTTCAAACTGAATGAATGATTATTTTAGGCTCAAGTGTGTGCAAGGAACTGGAAGCAAGCAGAGCACGGCTGTTTCTAAAGCACGCATCTGCTGTTCAAAACTGAGCTCAGAATCGATTCGAGAGGGAATCACGATGCATTTTTACAATCTCAGAGTAAATGTAGAATCATTGCTTGATTGGCGATGCATCAGTATATTTTCCCAGCCCCAGTCTGCAGTTTCATTGAACTTTGTAAACAAAAGTGCACAAAGCACATTTTGGTTGCACAAAGTGCTCTAGCTGGTCATCTAGTTTTATTATTATTATTTTTTTTTTTGAAAGGCTGGTCATAATTTTAAGTCTTGCGTAAAAAAAATAGATTGGCCTAATTTAAATCCAAAAAATAAGACTTTTAATATACTGTAAATAGCACATACAGTATTATTAAAACATACCTTATTTTCTTTGTTAATTTTATAGAGAAGCTTTGTGAAAAAACATCCAAATGGGATCCATTTTTTATGTTATTGCGCAGCCCTAGTCGCTAGTATTATTGTTATCGATATGAGATCATCTTCAGACGGTGGATGCAACACAACTGTTGCTACCATGAACAATAGATTATGGGATGAAGGATTTTTTAAAATGCAAACAATTGCATTCAGGGAATTTGTAAGTTTTGAAAGGGACATTATTATGTACATTTCTTGTAATAATAGAGTGCTTCTTACAGATATATTTACATTTTCTATATATAGAGTGGGGTCTGAAAGTCTGAGACCATGATCTCATAAAAAACCTGCAAATACAGTTTTGGGATTTTGAAAAACATAAAATACAGCATCTCTGATTCTGCACTATTTCTAGGTCAGTAATCGCATAAGCAAAAAAAAAAAAAAGTACTCTGTACAAAAGGGCAAATTTTCGTGCATAAAAGCACCCACAACATGCTC